ATACATAGGAGGTGGCATTAGGGACAAGGACAGCGGGGTTACATGAACATTGGACCCATCAACAACTAACGCAACAGAATTCTCCATAACAGCCGTGACCCAAACAAAGTTAGAAACCGTGACCTGACCACCAAGAGTCCAACAAATTAACTGCAGTGGCTTCGTCGGATTCCAAATAAACCTAACTTCATCTCGCTTCAAGTATCTAATTTCATGCTTCAGGTACCAGTGGTTATTACTAAAACACCATATCCTCACAGCATCATAATTTCCACAGTCAACAACACCTGCAAGAAGATCAGAACTGCAATTCCACTTCAGAAACTTCACTCTCGCATCAACACCAAACCTGCTTCTCTCTAATCCATTCCTCTCAAAGAAAACAACAGATGGACATTCATTTCCATCTTTTCCACCACAAACAGCTGCAATCTTAGCACCACTCGGCATCCACTCCAAAATAGACCCAGCAAAACTCTCCTGCTTCGAAGAAGCAAGCATAGCCCCTGAATCTCGCTCCCAAACCTTAATTTCCTTAAGCAACGAATCAGAACCGCACGCATCACTCATCGTAGCAAAGTATTTCCCATCTCCCCGCCAAGACACGGGAAGTGAGTTCCCTCCACCTGAAAAATCAAAACAGAACACTCACAACCCTAAACCAACAACTCAATCCACCAAATTCACAAAAAATAACAATACCGATAGAACTTAACATAAGGTCTGTTTCGATAAGATTATCCATAATCACTTCTAGAAGGAAAAAATAGGAGGAAGAGAAAGCTAAAACTAGTTTTTACATATAATTTTTTTGAAGAAGCTAAAATGAGCTTGTACAAATTAGCTTATTCTTAAACTAATTTAAGCTCATGGAAAATTTTATTTAATTTTTTCTTCTTAAAAGTGCTATCTAAACATATCCATATTAATATAACGCATTGAATTTAGGGTTGTGGTGGTCCTTACTTACGTGATAGTCTTCAGGAACACCATCGCGGAGTGGTGTTTCGTATAACACGTCCCAATCGAGAGTCATCACCAAGAGCTGCGCGAAACCGGTGGTTACGGCGACGAGTTCGCCGTCGGGACTAAGCGAAACGGCGTTAACGCCGCCGTCGAGTCTGCCAACGACTTGCGTTGCGTCGTCGTCGTCGTCGTCGACGGTGTGGAGCAAGAGAAGGCCGTTGGAGGTTCCGAGGAGAAGCGCTTCTTTCTCCATGAGGTAGTCGAAGGAGGTGACGGAGTCTCCAGGATCGAGGCGGACGGTGACGGCATCCGCGGCGAGCGAGGCGTTACGGCTCCAGACTCCGTTATCCTGAAAGGCGCGATGAATGTGAGATTAATAGGAACGAATGAATGAAGGAATGAGTGAAGTGAATGGGAACGAACGTGGAAGGAGGAGAGATGGGAAGTGTAGATGAGATTGTGGGAAGAGAGGAAGAAGAGGCGGTTGCGGTCGATGTCGAAGGCGCAGAATCGTAGGGTTTCGCCGTCGGAGTGAAACTGAAGAGAGAGTCGCAGAGGAACCTCCCAAAACAGCTTCAGGTTCTTCATCCTTCGCCGCTGGTTCGGAGTAGGGTTTAACTTCGATAATCAAACACCCTCTATTCTTTTTCCCTCTTATTCATCTAGCTACACTATTTATACCTTTATCAACCTTTTTGTTATAAGTAATGACATTAGAATTAAAATAAATCCATATATTCATGCCATGCAACCATACTTTTAAAACTCGGACCGATCATCGAACCGGTTAAGATATTGGGTTAAAAATTAAACTGATGAGTCACTAATTGAACCGTATGACTTGATTTTTATTTATTTATATTAAAAAATATTTATATTAAATATATTTTATACTTATAAATTTTAATTAATTCATATCTTATTTTAAATTTCAAATTTTCTCTTATTTTAAATTATTTTTATTTTTATTTTGTAAAAAATATATAAAAAATTACATATTAAACTGTATATTAATACAAATTAAAAATATAAATAATATGTACATATATAATATGCTTGCAATTGATATCACAAAATAATATATGTAATATCTACATAGATATTATATTATTAAATATATAATTTAAAATTAACAATATACTATAAAAGTTATTTAAGTTGTATATATTATAAACAAATACATTAGAACAAGTAGTCATTGTTATATTTAATAAGAATCTTTGTTCTTCCATTAAGAGATTCAATTTTCATTATTATTTTTGTGGTTTATGGTCCTTAAAATTTTTTTAAAAAAAATAAGAAAAAAAAGTGGTTGAACCGAAAAATTGACCGGTTCAATCCGGTTTGAAACGGGTTGATTGCATAACCGATCTAACTTAAGATTCGGACCGGCTGGACCACCAGTTTTCGTCCAACCGATCTGACCGGCCGATTCGATCCAGGTTTTTAAACACTGCATGCAACACATTTTAAACAATTTTTATTATTAACCGAAAATTATTACAAAAATTTAATAACCTCATTTAATATAATTTTTTTATCTTTTGATAAATAATTAATTTTAATGTCCTTGTAACTAATACTTATTAACATATTTAAAGTTATATTAGTCATTCATGCATTGATATTTTTTCTTTCATGAACTTGAGTATAAATAATATGTTTAAAATTATAGTATTTATCAACTAATAGCATTAAAGATAAATATTCATCCACTAATTCAATTGAAAAATCATCAGAATGATATTCTTTATGAAAAAAGTTGTGTAGTGATATATATTAATACAAGTTTAGTTTGTGCCTTAAATAAAAATAAGGATCTTGACTTAAAAATTGTAAAGGCTAATTTAAAATTATTAAATATTTTCTCAAACAAATTTTTGAAAGATACACGACGTAAACTAAAAATTTTATTTTTATTTTGAGTCATTATCATGACTAACAAAGTCTTTTTAATATATGCCTACATAGGCTTATTATGTTTAATAACTATTTTACATCAAATTTCAACGATATAACTACTGAATTTAATGTTCTTAATGTATATTAAAGTTTGAAAAATTTTAAAATCATTTGATATTTTATTTCATTAATTCAAATCTATGTATAAACTTACTCCACTTAATAACTCATGTTTTATATTAAATTTCAATAATTCAACTGTTGAATTAAAAAATTTTAATGCATAAATCAAGTTGGTAATTTTTTATAAAATTAAAAAATTATTTAATACTTAATTTCTTTAATTCAAATTAACAAATAATTATAAAAATACTTTACATGTAATCTAATAAAAAGTAAAGACAAAAAAATAGTTAATTCTTTTGATACTTCAAAATGGCAAATAGTTTCTTCTCTATTATAGTTAAAGTGAAAGAGATGAATATTAACAACAATTTTTTCAAGAGAGTATTTGGATGAGAAATTTAAATACAGTAATTTATTTGTTTGAAGAATTTTAAATTTCTTAATGGTGTATTTGGATGAGAATTTTTACAAATTTAAGGAATTTGAAATTTTTAGTATTTGAATTTTTTTGATTTCAATTTTTATCATTCTTAAAATATTTTGTTTGGATAAGTTAATTCAAATTTTAAATTGTTAGTTTAGATATGATAATTTGATTTCACTATGGTAAATTTGATTTAAAAAATATATTTATATGTTTAGATTTTTAATTAGTTTTTATAAAAATAAACATTAGCCAATTTTTAAGTATTTAATAATTTTTAAAAAATTAATATTAGATAATATTTAATTTTAAAAATATTATTGAATATTCAATAATTAAAAACATGAAGAAATAAAAGATAAGATAAAATATATAAGTGAAATAAGAAAAAAAAATATGAGAAATTTTAAATTCTTACTATTTTTGGAGACTTTGAAATTTTACTATTTCAAGGAATTTCACAAATGTTTGATTTTTAAATTCTTTGTATATTCTCAATTCAAACAAAATATTTCACCTCAAAGAATTTGAAATTCTTCAAACAATGGGTTACTCCATTTAATTTTTCTTTCTAAACACACTCTAAGGTGAAATGTTTTGTTTGAATAGAGAATTTATAAAAAAAATTAAAATCTAAATATTTGTGAAATTTCTTAAAATAATATAAATTTCAAATTCTCTAAAAAAAAAGTAAGAATTTCAAATTTTTCATGTTTTTTTTTTTATTTCACTTATATATTTTATCCTATCTCCCATCTCTTCATGCTTTTGATTATTAAATATTAAAAAACATTGTCTAATAATATTTTTAAAAAAATTATTAAATATTTAAATATTAGCTAATATTTTTTTTATAAAATTTAATTTAAAAATCTCAACACGTGAATATATTTTTAAAATTAATTTTTATCATAGTAGAATCAAATTATCATATTTAAACTAATAATTTAAAAATTTTAAAAATTGAATTGATTTATTCAAACAAAATATTTTAAAAATAATACAAATCAAAATCAAATTAATTCAAATGGAAAAATTTTCAAATTTCTAAAATTTTAAAATTGCTCATCCAAACACACTTAACACTCTTTAGTATTTTTTTATTATTGACTGATTTTCATTAAAAAAAACATAAATGCATCTCACTTTCAAAACAAGATTAACCGAGCCATGAAACTTAACAAAAGTTATATTTTTCAATAAAAAAAAAGTTAGAAAAAAATATTACTTGGATAGTGTGGCTGTGTGAGCGTGAGATCCCAATACCTTACCTTAAATTCGCAATTCAATAACCACTAAATCGGTTGTCCTGTTTAAGGATAAATTGACTTCAGCATTATTTTTATGATGAATTCAACGATCAATGGTCAAGCAAAGTTTCAGTTGATAACAAATTTTTTTAAAAATACTTGTATAACACACTCATAATAATTCAAAAGCTTTTTAGTATTTTTTTTTCTTCGTAATCTATTAATTATTTTTATCATTCATAATGTAAGTCCCAAATTCTAAACCCTAAAATACAAACTGGCATGTGCGTCTTCTTTGTGATCTAGAACTTTGAAAATTTTAACAGCAAGCATAATAAAAGAAACAAGAAATTATATATCAAATTACATAACGAACTGCCCTCCACTATTCCACTATAAGACCCTGTGTGTCTATATATTTATATATATACACGGTAATTTCTCAATACATGTTACAATTTTTCTCGATAAAATCATAAAGAAATTGAGAAAATAAATTAAGGAGCACATAATTACAGAACAGAAGGGGAACAATTTGGATACCTCTAAAAGTAGGCATCCCAATCGCATGATGGCCCCTGTGAAAGGATCATGTTGAAAAGTGATTATACTGACAATGTTCACAGAATATTTTTCTTAATATTTCGATACAACTTTAAAGATTAACCAGAAAACACTTCAAACTGTAAGTGCGTATTTGGAAACCTATTCTGTTGAACAGAACACCAATTCATATTTCCTTTCCTTCTAAGTTTGTGCATAGGAATGTGTGAAACCTCTGTTTAAAAGGGTGCAACTGGATACCCAAACACACTACGGATACTCCTAACTGCATTTTAGAATTTTTTTAACTTGTTTCATGAACTTTTATAATAATACCGAAGAAAATACCACAATAATTAGATAAACTATAACATTTTATTACTTCTCTCTTTTAATTTCAAATTCATCTTTTATATTAATTTTATATATTGAATTATAGTCAAGTCATGTCCTGTGAAGGCTGTGATTTTTAAAACATTTCTGTGTCCACGTGTTTGTGTCATATCATATTCATGTCCCATGTCATCTGTGCTTTCTAAAAGTCTAGAGCTCTGTTCAACGTGTGGCCACTTTTTCACTTATGAAGATGAAGCGTAAATCAAAAAGTGACCTTGTATATCACAAAAGTTTAGCCAATCTATTGACAATTACCAAAAGAACTAAACTTCTCTTCACCGAAAATTGTGTTCTAAAATTGAAGGGGGCAGGGTATTTATTGATCAAAGTCCTGCAGAGTCCCTATGGATTTCATATTGAACAACACCAAAGCAAGAGAAAGTGGGAGGGAGAGAAAGGTACCTGAGGACATGTTGAGGCATAGATCAGCAATGTTTCAGCATCTGAACCAAAATCAAAGATATTCAAATTATTCCCGGAGACAACACTTGCTTTCACTAGCCTTTTAGCCAAACTTCTTAAGCAGAAGAGCACATTTTAATAATTTTTCCCAAGTAAACTCTCTTTCAGTGGTTGAAAGACATGCTGTCGTTGGTGACACGATTGCAGATATCAACATGGCCCACAAAGAGTAGCACCACTGGCCACCACTAGATTCTATTCAACCATTTTGAAAATAAATCACAATTTGGTTTCTGCAAGGAAGCTTTAAAAGAATATGTCCCAGCTAGTGTGGCAATCTCGGTCATTTAAAGGATAGATACTGAATGATCCTCAGAATCAGTTGCAATTATTCCTTAGACCAACACGAGTCTACTCCAAACCAATATCGCACTCCATAAAGTCATGACTCAAACATCACAAGTCAAATCCAAGATCATTTGCCAATTGAAGTATGCCACGCATTTGAAGGTAAGGATTCTCTAACAGTTTTTCATTGTTGCTCTGTGCAGTGCCAATAAAAAGCAGAATCATGTAACAAATTTATAATTAATCACCAAAAATACTACTTTATTAAGCAAACAAACAGAGAAATTTAAAATAAGATTGTTTCTATTTAAAGACACAATACAAATACAACGAAGCACACACATAATAGAGATCTTAAAGAACTTCGTTTAAGGATAGAACTGCCTAGAGATATTAAACAGGAAGAATTTGAATATGATAAGCACTCAAGCACATGGGGAACTCTCCCTTAAAAGCTAGTTGTTAAGGGAGGAGAACCAAGTACACTCCATCAAGCATCCCATACTATTCGATATGGGACTTAGGCAACCCATAATACCCAAGACCCAATAAGAATATGATCCTCACTTAAAATGAAGAATTAAAAATTTCAATTTCAAATGCATTAACAGTAGAAAAGGAGCTCCAAGCAAATCATTAAAAAAGAAAGTACCTGCTGAGCTTTAACAAGAAGATTCTCAAGCATGTGTTGATATTTTTCAGGATACTCGGTCATCATTCGCTGCAGAAAGGGGGAATCATTACAAAGGATGAAATTTAAGGACCTAATGCAAATATAATCAACACAAAATAAAATCAAATTCATGCCTTCAATAGAAAAGCAGAAGAATAATATGCCACCCTTGAATCTCTGTCATTCAAAAGTTCCCTGCCAGATGGAAGATCAATGCTTTATAAGAATGTATAAAGTTGATAAAAATGCACACTAATTTACAGAGGGCATAAAAGTTTACACTCACATAAAAAAACGTTCTTTACCAACTTCCTTGAAAGCAACAGGATCTGCCGTGCATTTACCAATAAGAAGTAGGAGAAGGGTGGCCCGAATATCAGATGCAGCACCAGGTAGGTTTCCTCTTCCCTTACTTCCAACAGCAACACCCAATGCAATATCATCTGTTGCTGCTCCAGCCAATTGCATTAGTGGCCAAAATAGCAAATCAGGAGGAATGCGCGCAATTAATTGCATTGGGGCAATGGCTTGTCCTTGGAGAAGAAGTGCTGCCATTGCTGCAGTCTCCCGAAGAAGATGATAGTTATCAGGGTAGTTTGATCTTCCACCAGCTTTTTGCTCATTAGATTCATCCAAGAGATAAGTATCTTGTTTAAGGGCACGGGGAACTCTCAGGCATAATTGGGATAATAATATGTCACACATCTGTTATGAAACAACAAAGAGTTGAGGAAAACAGGTAGACCATAAATATTCCTAGACAATTTTCCCAATGTTGTTCCAAGGAGTCATATCCTATTATTAATAAAACAGTATTTAAACTTTATTATTTAAAAGAAGAAAAAAATAATAACTATGAACATTGAAGTGTCTATTAGCTATTTAGCAACCTATGTGATATCAGATTCTGTAGATGGTAATTTAATTTATCTTGAAATGCTTCTTGACCTGAAAATAAACCCATTTCAAGATAATATAATTATCATAAAAGACCGTGCTCTATCAGTTTACTAATGACACTAGGACAATGTGAGGTTCCTAGTAAAATAGGTCGCCAATTACATCCAATTGGAAAACTATGTGGTAGACGTGGTTCGTCTCTTTCTTTGATAGCATAAAGAACACGCAGGTTTATTTACAACAGTTTTTTCAAATTTAGTATAGTTCACCATGCTTTTATAAGTATTTGTTGCTGTGACATGAGGATACTTGGGGAAAAAAGGAAAAGCATTCTGAGTTCAGAAATAATTACTTTCAGAATATTGATGCGATCTGTTTCATACTTATTGGTGCAATCTTTTTCGTTTATCTGAAACAACAAAGCACTGCTCATTATGTCAATCAATGCATAGGCTTTCTCAAGATGCCAATCTTTCTGCCTGCACCCAAGATCACTGCTCCTTGATTGTTGCATTTCATATTCATCTAACAAAAATTTGCATCTCATAAGCAGCCTTTCAAGAACAAATAAATATCCCCATCTAATATAGTTGTGTTTTGATTTTAAAAGCCCACACATAAGTGAAATGGGCAAAGGAATATCTGACATATCTGAAGAATCTTGTTTTCCTACTTGAGCAATTTTTTGCTGGAAATATTTTATATTTGCCCATATGGTTTCATTTCTTTCCCCGCTGATTTCAGCAATAAGCAGATCACCTAACCAGATATACCCATTCTGACGGTAAGCAATTCTTTCAGAATGAAGAAGGGAATGTAAAGTCGCCCACGAGAGGTTTCTCTGCAGATTGATGTCATTTCTTAGAGCAATAATTTCCACATTTTCAAGAGACTTGTGAGTTTTGGTTATCTGAATCATATGAGAGAACTCTCCATCCAAATGAGTGAATGAACTTATTAATGCGTCAAATTTCTCTGTCACAATTTCCAAGAGCTGCAAAGATTTTAAAGAAAAACAAGTGAGACAAAAATGAATATACATACAATCTAAAGAAACATGTCAGTCTTTCTCCCAGACAGTTATTCAAGCTTGCAACCGATTATTAGTGGGATGAAGGAAGACTAAACTCCCTTCCTTGAATTGAAAAACAAAAGACTTCTTTGATTTGCATAAATGAACATAATAAAATCTGAATTTAAGAATGCCAAACACCAGACAACAATTTAGCATTCTATGAATAAAAAATGAAATGCTTATTAGAGGCTTATATTATATTACCAGTTTATTTTTATTTTCTTCTCCTAAAAGTGTTTATAGAAAATTTTATCCAAATAAACAAACCATATATAGTATAATTTCTATCTTAACAAGGAAGATACATACATATTTTTCATTAGTTGACAACTTAGATTAAACTATTATACCTACACACAAAAAGAAAAAGATGGAAATACCATATTCAGCCGTTCACTGTTGGGATGTCTCAACAGAGCAGATGCAATTGATCTCCTCAAAAGCTCTCCAATTCCTTCTACCCCAAGTTTAACAGAAATATGAAATGCCTCAGCTGCATTTGTTCGAGCAAGTAGAGTTGCAAGTGGTCGGATCTCATCATCACTATATTCATTGATTCCAGTCGCTACACAAGTTTCATTAATTTGATGCAAAACATAGTCAAAAAGCACCGAATACAGATTTTTCCTCTCTTCTCTTGAGTTTACAAGGGCATACTGCATCCAACACAGAAAAAAGTTGGGGAAACCCTTCAAGTATTGCAAATTTAAAAATACTGATATAACAAGGACCTCAGATCATGTCTTCATTCTACACTTATTACTCTAGTGAAAAGCAAACATCATCTTATAAATTAAACGATGTGACAAGTTTATATTGGGCACAATAAGTGACCTACTCATCACCTTACATCTCTAACTTCAGGAAAAGAATGATCTCAGACTCTCAGTATTTTCTTTCTTATATAGTCAAGGTCCATTTTTGATAGGATCTTTATTTTTTTAGAATCACATATCCTTAGCATTATCAATCATATCAGCCAACCTTTAATGGTATATCTTGAGAAAGTAACATTGTTATATAACAATTGGCATATCTTGAGATATTATTAATGTTTGAAAGATAGATAGATAGATAGATATAATCAACACAGAAATGTGCAGTGCTTAATATTGTCAGCTTAGTAGGCAATATAAACAGTACTTATAGATTTAAATAGATAAATGTATAGTAATTGTTGGAAATGTCTTAATAGAGCTTATAAGGCTTGGATAATCCTCGCCTTATAAGTTGTTTTTTGGAGTTGAATTAAACTTTTAAGTCCAAATTCTAAGATGGTATTGAGCTTTATCCTAAACCCATTGTTGAGTCATCTGCATTGTCAAATTGCCATGCTCCAAGCCCATAGCCTCAGACATGATGAGGTGTGTTGGAAAGCCGCCTTAATTGCAGTCACCCCTAGCCCGCAAGTGTCTTGGAAAGAGTTAATTACGGAGGGGTTGACTAGAAAAAGTTGAGTGAAGCATTGTAGTGTGGAGCAACCAAGACATCGACTCTTAGCGAGTTGAGATTCCACATCAACTAGAGATATAACCAAGACCAACGTGGTATTTATAACACTTGGACAATTTCTACTTTACAAGTCGGTTTTGTGGGATTAAATTAGACCCTAAATCTAAATTCTAAGAGTAAAATCAAATCTTACATATTACTTTATTGGAAATAAATCAAGCATGTGATTGAAGCTATGCATACCTCACAAAAAAGAAATTGAACTCCTCCAATCAGATCAAGCTGATTCATGAGAAACTTTGGTGTGCTAGGTAGGAGCTCAACAGCTTCATCGGGAACTTCATATAACATGTTAGCTAACATCGAAATGAGCTTACAATGAACTAATTCTGCCCATGAATTCTTCCTGCTGGTTTCTATAAGTGATTTGATAACCTAAAGGCAGAATTGTGTAAATAAATTAAGTGGAGTAATCACAATTAATGGTTATACATTTATATTGACATGAACCACACTAACCATCAATACAAAGTAATCAATGACTACAAAAAGACCCAATTCACAAACTCTAGTCTCAAAATTGCTTCATGATTTAATTTAATTAATATTACAACCAACTTCATAAAGGGAATGGACAAACTTAATAAAAAGCTGAATGAAACAAAAATGGGATTTCCATGATATCCTGATAAAAAAAATAGGAAAGGGAAATATCATTTCTCACCCTTATGTCAAGAACTTGCAATCGGTTTCTGAGGATCTTTCCGTTATCACAGACAAAATAAAGTAAACAACTGAGTGCAGATGCCCAGACAGATTCCTCCTGTTCTTCAGTCTGTATAAAACAATTAATCAGCATAAAATCATGTTATGTTGAGAACATCATGATTGGACCATTACTAGAAGAAGAGAAAAGAAACAACATTGTAAGAATTTTCATATGAAAGATACACCAATTTTTTTTGGTTAATCCACCAAAGTGAAATCAGTGACCAAATCTTTTTTAAAGGTCTAAAACCTTATTTGGTTTGCTCCTAATTCTTCAACCCAACTATCCTATAATTTGAATATAATATGTTACTTTATAAAATATAATTTGACATGAAAAATATTGTACTTATTCAAGAACAAGGACTTTCTATTACATCAATGGTTACTTTGCTAAATTGGCACAACATTCAAAAAGTAAGAACTCAATTCTCCATAAACCTTCAAATTTGAAGCATAGAAATTAGAACAAGTAACAAGATGAATTTGTAACTATAAACAAGGAGAAATAAATAGGTACCAAAAAATAAGAGCTTTAAGTATGGATAACCCTCCCTCTTAAAATAAGAAATGACGCCACATTCTCATAAAAAGATAGAGGAAACACATCCATCCTTACTTTCATCCTTAAAAAGATTAGGGCAACCCATGTATAGCATCACTTGACATCATAGCATGCATTACGAAAGTCATAATGTCAAGTGAATAGACTAAATAAATTAAAAAGTATTACACCCACTAATAAACGATTTCTAGCCAAGAAAAATTATGAGACAAAATGCATTATTTTTCTGCTTAAAATTGGTCAATAGGGAAAGGAGGGTCAATAATACCTGCACAAGAAGAAGGAGTATCTCATACAAAATATTTAAAATCCAAGACTCGAAATTATCAATTGCAGAGAAAGTGTCCAATTTGTTCTGATTTCCTTTTCTGCTCCCTTGGACCATAAGTTGAGTGTCACTATCATAATAGGATTCTTGAGAATATTCTTCTTCAATTGTGGAAGCATCATCAGCTATGATTGGTTCTAGGAGATGACCATGAACCGCAAAATTTAGAATTAAATCAAACGCTTGAACCCTGCAAGCTGTTTTAGAAGAACTAAGCATCTCCTGAAAGACGTATTTGAAAATCCAGTTAGTAGCAACTAACAGCAAAATCAGTTAAAATATTGTCAATAGGAAACAAGTACTTTGTTGATTCATCACCTCAAGCAAAGAAAGAGTGAGTGGTGTAGCAATCTGAGAATCAAAAATATACCTACAAAACAAACACCTTTTTTTATGGCCATAAACATAATACATGATCAACTCAGTACAGCTCATCCACTATCAATGTAAGCAATAATCCCATATCAATTGTCATCTTATCCCTATAACCAAGAATGGAAGAAAATGTAAACAGACAATAAGTGCACTGAAGCATACATGTCAATAACAAGTTTAATAAGGACGCTAACAGCCACATCCATTGATGGTTTTCCACTGTTATTGGTTAGCCTAGTTGACTTCATCATGACATTGGTATTTGGGGAAGGCTCTGTGCAAACAGCAACAATGACTTCACATACCTCAGCAGGGTTCAATCGCAAAGGTTGTTGCTCACTGGTCAGCATAAGATTATATTTAGTGAAGAGTATAGAAAAAGATAATCAATCAATTATATATATCAGTGTATCATGGACAATGGTAAATTTTTTCTATGAAAACACAAGCAATATGCAATTTTCTATTCAAGAAATCTAATTAATAATTAAAATTTGATCAAAATAATTATACATTTTCATCATTTGGAGGGGGGTGATAATGGGTTAGTATGAGGAAATTTTGGATCAAACCCTATCAAAAATGGTTGGGTCGGATTTCTGAAGTGCTGGCCTGACCTAACACCATTGTGTTTAGGTCAGGTTGGTTCATCGAGTTTTTTATTAAAATGACAAGATACAAAAAAAGGAAAAATGCAAAAATTATAAAAATTGAAAGAAAATTGTTGTCCTGTGTCAAATATCCGATTTATTCTATGAAGCACAACCACTAAATCACTTCAGATGTTTATTTTATACTAAGTATTATATTAAGTGTTTTTCATTAATTTATTTTTCATATAATCAAGTTGGGTCGAGTATAGGAATTGTTAAAGTCGATACCCAAGTCATATTAATACAAATCCAACCCAACCTCGGTTTTCTTTTTGTTGGATTGGTCAGGTTGGGTATATCCACAATCACCCCTATGACTTGAGTAGTTACTGGACTTCCTCTGTAAAATAATTACAAAAATAGAGCACCAATTGTAGCAACCAATTAATAAGGAAATATAAGGCAAACATGAGAGATTTAAACCCCCCCTGGTTTGAATGATGATCTCCAACACACCTCTCATAAAGATTGGACATCTGCAGGTGATTTGATAACGACTTGATAATGAGTGGCCTAATAGGTCCAACAATTGTTAAGATAGGTTTTAATTTCATCTTAAGAAAGTGGGTTTGCGTCAAATTTAATCTTACAAAACAGGCTTGTATGGTGAGATTAACTCTCACTCATACACATTATGGTCATCTTACTAATTGATGTGAGATCTCCAACAAAAATACATAAATTAGAAAGACAACTTGAGATGAAAAGCATATACCATAATTAAAGATTAACAAAGGAGCATTATAAATAAATATGAAACTCATATTACTTAACCTAAAAATCTTTTCAAGATTTCATATTATTGCTCTAGAAATGCTCACCATTAAATTTATACATTTCTAATTGTAGTGGGTTCTAATGGAACAAAGAAAAAAAATCCTTAATATGGAAAGAACAGTTACAGCAATTTGACTTGCCTAAATCCATACTCAACTGAAAAATTGTTATAGCATTATCACATCCATTTTGGGATGGAGGGAATATATACAAAAGTACTTACAAATTATTTCTTTATCTGTACCTGTAATATCGATATTGAAAGAGTTGTCGAGCTCGAGGACGGAATGTACTCACAGGAAAATCCTCCCTATAGGAATTGCTATGTTCGGATTAGTAAATTACATTATCAAAAGCACTTAGCAAATCAAAAGCAGTGGAGAAAAAAAAAAGAGATAATAATTGCCTTTTTAAGTAAAAAAAAGATTATATTGTAGCAAGGCAATTCAATTACGTGTCATAAAATCTAGCTCATATAATCAGCATTTTAATTCATTTAACATTTAAGGTTTATGTATATTTTGGTGAACAAAGTCATAGCCAAACAATACTTGAAATTACTGCATAGCCCTCAAACAATCAAACCTATCCACAGAAATCATATTAGAGACGAAAAGTCCTATTTATACTAGTATTCTAGAAGAGGCACTAGTGCAGCAGTAGTACAACTAGTGCAAACCCAAACAGTAAGACTCCTAACACAAATATGCCTTGCAGGTAAGGGATTTCCTAGCATACAATTAACTAGGGGTAGCAAATGAATCTAATTATCCATCATTCATCTACAAGAAAATCCATCCAATCCATCCATTACAATAAAAATAAATAATGGATCGGATCCAATCCAATCCATTTAACTTTATGGATGATTAGTGATCTATCCATTCCTTTTTCAAAATTCATAGGATTATAATATAGGATGTATATTAGATTGAGACTTTAAAAGACTATTTTGATATAAAAAAAAGTCTTATGAATTTTAAAAGACTTATATATAAGAATATAATGACTTATAAAGAAAAGAGAGAGAAATAAAATATTTCAAAAGTAAAAATTATTAATTTTTAAAACATTACTTTTTTGGATGGATCGGATATCCATTTATGAAAAAATTGTTAATAGATGACTTTTGTTGTTTTAAATGGATTGGATAGATTAAATATTTATGTGAATTTTTAATGGATTTAAGTGGATTATTTTTATCTGAATCATTATGATCCGCCTAAAAAATTATCCGATCCATCCATTTGCCAACCCTACAACTAACTTAACAAGGCCTAAAATACTCCAAAATCCAAATTAATTAAAACAGAGATGAAACAAAAATAAATGAGAGAATATATCAAAGCAAGAAGTTATCTGATAGTAGAACATGCCAAACTTGATGCGGGCCTGCTTTTGTGCGTTTAGATGCTGTTATTGCTCTCAGGGGAGGACAAGCAGAGGCAGAATTAGTAAATGATGTTACTGGAGAAGACTGCAATAGCTGATCCAGGTAAGGCATATCATCAGTCCCAAAATGTTTCCATGGTTGCCCCTTCATCTTAGCTTCAATGTCTCCTTCAAGTAGAGCTGCAGCACCTACTTCTAAGAAATTATATGCTCTCATGCCTTGTGAATTCACAGCATGATCACTGTATTAAAATACATTTGGGAAAACAAAATAAATATCTGAAGCAATTTACGATGAGATAAATTAAAAAGAATAGCAGAAATAAACGCAGCAGTGGTCATTAACAAAAACACCCAGACCGGTAGATCAAAACCAAATACAAAATATTAATTACCTGTCAGCTTCCATTGATGATGACTGCTGTTCCTCAAGCCAGCGCCATTGTAGAATATCATGCGCAATGAACCCAAGTTCATCTTTTTCATCAATTTTTGATAGCTTTGAAATAGATGAAGTGACTGAATCCTTCTCTGCTGATTCTGGGACACTTGCCGGATATAGTTGGGAATTGAAGGATTTACTCAACAATGATGACAATGTTGGCAACGATTGTCCTGACGCAGAAGGTGATCCAGAAAATGAAGCTAGTTGAAAAAGCCTCTTCGGAATGTGTTGAGCCACAAGGGAGCGTACGTAACTCAGTGATTTCACAATTGCCTCAGAAGTAAAACTAGATACAGGCAAAGGAGATGTATTTGTGGATGACGCTAATACACCAGTTTGTTGATTCAAAGATCTTGACCATGGTCGATGCAGATTAATATCACATTCAGCAATAATGGTTGAACAAAATTGTTCTATCTGATGTAAAATCTCCTCACTTGGTTTGTATCTGTATAAATTAACTAGTTGAGAACTCTTAAGTCTTAACGGCATAAGTAGCAACTAACAAAAGATGCTTTCTTGTCTAACACAAATCTAAAGAAAATGCAATCAAATTATCAATAAAAGAGTCTCTAACTAAATGAAAAAATTTGCATTGTGTCATTTAAAGGGTTACCGATCCTCTTCGTACAAAACAAAGAGACAGATGATGTCTCACTCTCAGATAATTTTATGATAGAATAGAATACCCGCTCACTAAAATAGAATTACATACCTTAGAAGATAGCGTTTGAAAAGTGCCACACACCTTGAGACTACAGCAGGACTGGTGAAAATAGTTTTAAATGTTAGCAGCAGAAAAAGGAAACTAAAACTGATTTACATAATACTAAGCACAAAAAAATTAATTATGGAGAGAATGAAATAATTGTGAATGTAAATTAAAATTGCAAGAAACAACACAGTTGTGTAATAATTCTAAAAAATAGAAGACCATCCATGCGAACACTGGTTCAATGAAGTCTGGACAGTCTCACAACTACCTTTTATCAACAAACAAATGTGACAACTCAATTACCTTCTCTCCCTCTCTGCTATAGTGTGTCCCAAAATTGCACTGTAAGCCAAGTCTGTGGTTGCAGGGTCTGCCAGATAGTCCTGCAATCACACATTTAGTCAAAGAATTGGTGGGAACTGTGAAAGTAAGACCTTGTGCATTGAATATTATATATAACGGCACTGTGGTCATGGTATACCACTAATGATGACAGGCACACAGACATTAAAATCTGCTATGAGATACAGAATTATATTACAATTAGGAGGTGGCAATAAACTGAACCATCTCGAAAATAATTTGAAAGTCGATTCAGTAATTAGTTCGTTGAACTTGATTTATAAACTAAATGAGCTGAATTTAAGTTGTGTATAGTTCAGTTTGTTTAGATCATAAATCAGCTTGACATATAAATATAATTTATATAATTGTCTTTTTTTTATTTAATTTCAGCTTATTAAAATTTGTAAAAAACCTTCAAAGTTAATTATAAGTTAATAATAATATAAGAAGTGGGTACCTTATGGTTTCATGGCTATGTTTGAGTTTTCTATTATTTTGTACAAGGTGAAGTAGTTTTTATTAATGTAAACTTTTGGCTGTAATTATAGTGTTTTTTAGTCATATCTTATAATCTTGCAAAGTTAATAGAATAAATTATGTTGTATTTCAAAAAAACTTAAATAATCATTTTATCTAAAATCTATTAGTAAATTGAAATTTTGATGTGTACGATCCAGAAATTTTAACTCTTGATTCATGTGAATGAGTTAACGAACTAAATAAAGCTGTTCACGAGCTTGAACTTGAGTTGAGCTTTGAGTTGACCCGAATATTATTGAGCTGAGCTGAATTGAGCTAGACTCATTTTCAGTCCTAAATTTACAGTTAGTAAAATGCATACATGATACATGTGAAGAAAGTACAGTGAACTCAATTTTCCTCCCATTCCCAACCACATAAGGAAATCCAATTGGAGGAACCTATTGCTTTATGTGTACACATACCAAAAACGACTCATTGCTGATAAAAATAGTATTTGCTTTAAAACATTAAGCAAGCCGTGTACAAATACTCGCAAAGAATTATTGGCAACACAAAATTATTTGTCGGATATGATATATGTCATCATTCTCAGTGCAGATGGTACACTATCTTAAACTTCGTTAACGATAGGAGAGAGAGAGAGAGAGAAATGACATTTGAATTAAAAGTTAGCCAGTGAATTACAGAACACTTTCCAAAAATGTCACATTAAAAATTAGTTAAAATTTTCAGGTAATTAAGAAATTACAGTGAAAATTGGTCAGAATTAGGATAACTTCCAAAGTAGAAAAGTAGTGAGAATTAGTGTAACTTGCAGAACATTCGACGTGTGAAGAAATTATAATTCGTGAGGATGAAGCTAACCCGAAGGATCCTGGAAGATTCGACGGCGGAGGTGAGGGGAGAGGAGAGGCAATCGGCGACGGCGCGACGGAGAGGCTCGGGAAGGTTCTTGAGGAAGGAAGATCTCAACCTGGATATTCGAGAGGTGGAAGAAATTCGATTCGATGGTTCCATTCTCCAATACAAAAGTAACAGTTACTACTTGTTCAGTGGATGGAATCGCATTTGAATTTGAATGATAGAAGGAGGCATGAGATTTATAATGGAATTGGGAAGAAAAAAAAAAAAAAAAAAAAACCAA